CTCCTACCAAGTTCTAGTATGTATTCCCTTCGTCTTCTAAGAGTGTTTGCAAGTCCTCCTATGTTAATTTGAAGTCTTTATGCCTTCCCTTTGACCGAACAATCGAAGAAACCACCAAAAGCACCTTAAGTTAGCGGGAGGTGTGGCGACGCTAGGTTGGTGGCATTAGGGTGCTAAAAATAGGCGCAACAGTACAGGCTTGGGAAGCTGCATTTTGTGGCTCTGTATTGTCATGTTAGGTCTTTGGGCGTAGTGACACTGGTTTTGATGCCACAACGACATTGATCCTGGGTCTTGAAGCACTTAGACCCCAGAGTTGTGGTGTCGAACACTATATTTTGAATGAAAATTGGTGTTTTCAGGCGCTCCTTTGACAATGGGGCCCTCGCCTATTGATTTAACCCATGTCAAGCTTCAAATACCCAAGTGTTGAATTCTTACATGTATATCGTATATAACACCACATATACCAACAAAATGCATAAAAATGATACAAATAATATAATAAATCACATTAACATTTCTTATGCACATCAAGGACCCGACATAACATCTTTTATGGGGCTTCATCCAATTAATTTGGTTCAGTGTACGAGAACTTAAGCTCTTCAAATTAATAGTAAATGATAGTTTTGGAAGAATGACAAGTTATTACAAAAACAATCCGAAAGGACCAGCAAAAGTCAATCATTTTAATACTAAAAAAACATGTTAGGATTTGAGATATCATAGAAGTATAATATCTAGTATCTGAAATGTGAAAAAAATAAAAATAACAGGCATGTAAATGGAAAACCCCAACAACCAAGCCCATATGCATTAAGTGATGAACACAAAGGAGCATACCATAAACATAAAAATAAAACAATCATGTCCAAAGCTATCTTTAAGAGAGAGAGATCAAGAACACATAAACAGTAAAAAGTTGAGCTTGGGAGCAATATGGTGTCATCATAGCAATATTAGCAGTCAAGATCGAATACTACAAACAAAAATGTAGTATTCCTAATCTATCAGTGAAATATCATATGTACCACCAAGTTTAGTATTTGCGCTTATGAGAAATGAGTTAAAAAATCCAAAAGTAGAATTTAAAAAATGGCTATGATTAGAAGACAAAAAATGCCAACACGACTAACCCAAACAACCAAAAAATCCAATTCTACAAAAAAAAAAAAAAATAGTATATGTAACCCACCAGATGAATAAAACAACTTCACAAATGACATGATTTCTTTATAAACCATCAGAAAAAGAAGGAGAGGACTATAATAATTGGTTAAGCAAATTGATATTATTAGGAACATCTTCTTTGCATTTTAACTTTCTACTCTTCAAGCTAACAACCCAAAAATCATCTTGATTGAGAATATCAAGTGGGATAACAAAATTTTTTAAAATTCTTTTTTTACTTTCAATCTAGATATAATAAGTAGTGATATGTACACGCAACATATAATTTTTTAAAGAATTTTGCTTGTAAAAGTACAACATGATAACGAACTTGAAAAATATTACCCTCAACAAGAAAGAAATTTCTATTAAGAATAAATATTCTTAGAAGAGTTTTAGACTGAGGGAATTCAAAGAACAAGTGATTATGTCTCAATAGATAAGTGGCAAAAGACACATTTTTAATAAATTGAAATGCTTCTATTAGATAAAATATCACAAGTTTTGAGTTCATGTGAATTCTTTTACAAACATTAAATACAAATATGAGAGAATGCCCATTGAACTAAGAATATTTGCTCCAATTAAATTCTTTTATGCACATAGCAATCAAAATATTGCCAGAGGCATATGTAGAGATTTTCTTGTATATGAATTTTATAAATGAGAAGTGAACATTAGTGAGAGACTAAATTATAAAAAATGTATTGGCCAAATTCCATCAACAATAATCTCATTTAGCTTGGAATGTGTCACAACCCAATTATATAATCCATATGTAACATGAATTACATACTTGGAATGCGACAAATGAATGGATAAATTATTTCCTTAATTATATTTAGTAAAAAAATATTTTATTATTTTCTTAACAACTCATAATTATTCCTCCAATACCTAAGATTCATCAAATCAATAAACATAGGCATATTATATCCAAAAGAATATAAAATACATCTAAATGTTCTTCATTGGTAATAACCATAATTATATAACAATAAGGGTTTGCATCATCTTAGATGCCTAATTACGCCATCATTGTCTATAATATATATCCACCTTTATCTAAATGCATGTATCTACACCACTTATGTTACTAAGTAGTCTCACACATTTATTCCATCAATTTGTTTTCTTTACCTAAAATAAACAACAAATGCAAGTGAAAAAAGGTTAAGCATAAAACTTAGTAGGTTGCAGAAAACTTAAGAATTGATGTGGTAATTGTAACTCGTAGGTTGTATATAATTGCAACTTACAAGCTATCGCTGTATCAAGAAGCGACTGTGAAGCTGATGCTAGGAGAAGCTGTTGTAAAACTGCTGTTAGGAAAAGTTGTTGTAGTATGTTTGGATAGTTTAACTATGAGATTGTTGTGTTGCAATTGTTTCTAAAATAAAGTTGAGAATATCATTCCAAAATGTAATTGCAAGTGTATAACTTCAGAAACAATTGAAGCAGAACACTCTATAACTAAATTTCAAAATAAAACAAAACAAAAGCTCAATCCATAAATTACAAAAACATATCATTAAATGCACTTAGTACAAAATAAATAAAAAAATTCAAGCACTGAGATAATCATATTTCGAAATATCGGTGGCTGGGAAGAAAAGCCCCAAAACCTTAAATACTACTCTTTGAATATATCGATTGACAAGCCTCTTTTCATATTCCGAAGTCGTAAAACGAACAAAATAATTAAAGGCAACAATAGCAACAAGAAAGAGCTTGCATGCATGGAAATTCAACCTACGGTAGGGAAGAAAATCCATATTCGGTAGGGTGTGGAAATGTTAGGGTTTAAGCTAATAATTATATGGTTTTGTTAGGGTCTGCAACGTCACTTTTTATTAAGCCACAGAGCTCACCCCGGAACACAACACCAAAAGACCTTTTGTAAAACATCATTTTGGTAACACAAACTTCCGAAAAGCACCGAAAATGTTGCTCCCCAAACACCCCATTAGGTGATTTCGAAATTGAAAAGCACTTAAGAAGTTGCCCCAAATGGGGCATAAGTTAAATAAACACTTTTGATTTGATTTATGATTTTTTTTATTGGGAGTTCTTAGAGATAATGACCTATCGATTTAGAGTTTTTGATGCGGCTGCGTTTTCTAAGAGATGCCGGACAATCTTGAATAAATTGCATGAGAAGATAAGAGTTAAAGAGAAGAGAATGAAAGTATGAATCGATCTGCCTTTTGAGTTTTTAGTTTGTTGCATGACTACAAATGCCCATTAGGGCAAGTTACTCTTTGAGCTCATACATTTGAGGTTTTGAGAATATATATATATGCCCTTAAACTGTGTCAAAGTCGAAGGAGTCTATTGCGGAGCTCGAGAAGGAGAGCTGATAGAGATTATTTTGAATTTTTCCATATCTAAAACAGCGGAACAACGAAACGAAGGTTGGACTTCGAGATCCAAAAACAACAAAAAATGACGTTTAGGTAGACACTCTTCTTAGAGAAGTTAATCGACCAAACGAACAATAGAGGTTCTTTCAACGGTCTCTGCGATAGAGCGGTGACGAGGAGCTCTTTCAAATGAGTTCTATGTTGTAGCCACTAACCTTAATGAACATTTATTGATTTGACTGCTCAAATTTATTCATTATTAAAAGTATTTTCATGTATTTGATTTTACTTACATAACTAAGCAAGGAAGGAACCGAACTTTTTTTTTTAGGGGATCAAAGTGCCTAGGGGCTAGGGCAATAAAAAACAAAACTTATATTTCATGAGGGGCAAAAATGACATTTCATGAGGGTCAAAAGACCAAATTACACTCCCATATAAGTAAAAATCTAAATTTAAGGGGGGATTACAAAACTTATATTTTAGGATGGTCAAAATGTCAATTTGCACTCTCATGTAAGTAAAAATGTGAATTTGAGATGGGCAATTAGGTCCTTCATGGGTCTGCCCTTAGAACTAAGAAACTAATAAATCTAATATAATAAATCAAATCATGTAGAATATAAACCAATAATAAAATCACTATTTATTAAATCAAACCAATTCATTCAAATAGATTCAATTTTGTTCAAATACAAATTTTGATAAATCATGCACAACCCTGGACCAATACACTCGACATAATATATTAATATCATGACTACTACTCCATAATGACACAAATTTTAACACTCGCCACTCTCAACAAATTTATCATCCATTTTCACCACATACTTTCGTTCGAACGTCAAACTCACTCATGGACTCCAATGCCGGGCCCAATGTCAACTATAAGATTCATATCTATCATCAACACTTAGTCTCAACGACAATCAACAATAATAAGTCGATCGCTCCCTATTAACATAACCGTGTACATCTAAAAAGATGTAAAACATTCTCAAGAGATTATAACTCATTAAAAAAAACTGGACGGAAAATGAAATTTTAATATATATTTCTCTTAAAAAAATTAAAAAAAATGGGATATTTGGTTAATAACGACAAATTCGCCTCTACATATCCCTTCTAATGCCAGAAGTCAGCCATTCTCTAATTCATTTTATTTCATAAAATATAATATTGCTCGGCATAAGCTGTTCATTCATCATTGACGCGGCTGTTCATCTCTGCTCCCGTTTTTTCTATGATCGGCTGTCCGATTTGTTTATTTTATTTTTTCTTAATTTTTCCAGTTTAATTCATTTAATGCATCGCTTACCAGTTTTTCAGCTCAACTCGTCTCTCTCCTCGCCTTTGCTCCTTCACATAGAGGAGCTCGGGCTTTCTTTCTTCGCAGATTTGAACGCTTCTTTTGTTTCTTCC